AAAAATAATAAGATGCATTGATTCTCATAGGTCAAAAAAAAAAAAAAAAACAAAAACAGGGATGGTACCAGCATCAAATGCAATTGTCTCAAAGGATCATAGGGTTTTCCTTCTCTCTCCTTCTGGCTTTCTACTCTGCTTTCTTGTTTATTATTTTCTTTCCTACTGCAAATGAGCTTCCTCGATGTAGTCAGAGAAGTTGGCTGCCAGCAGTGGCAGGCCGATACTCCATGCTAGGGTACCACTGTTAAATGAAATCCCAGCACAAAGAAAGAACACTTTTCTCTGATGGCTTCCATGTGTAATGTCTTAGAGAAAGATTGTGATTGGTCAGTGTGGACCACATGTCTGCTTGTGAACCAGTCTCAAGCTCTTGAGCAATGGAGTGCTAGGACTGGCCAATCCTTGGTTATGTCTTCACACTTGTAGCCAAAGCAGATGGAGTCCATCACCAGAAAAGTGGTAAAGAATTCAGCTGAGCTATCCCAGTTAACTACAGCAACAGTTCCCAAATTGACCTGAAGATAAACATCCCCTGGACCCTTGTTAAAAAACAGATTCTTTGGTTCCCAGCTTAGACCTCCATAATCAGAATTTATATAGAAGGATGGTAATTTGTATATTTAGCAAGTACCCGAGGTGTATTAGTTTCCTATTGCCACTGTAACAAATTAACACAAATTTAGTGGCTTAAAACAACATGGATTTATTATCGTCTGGAGGTCAGAAACCCAAAATCGGTTTCACTGGGCTAAAGTTCAAGGTGTTGACAGGTTTCTTCTGGAGGCTCTGAGGGGAGAATCCATGTCTTTGCCTTTTTCAGCTTCTGGTGGCTGCCTGTGTGTCCCGTTCCACCATCTTGGAAGAGCATCACTCCAGTTACTGCTTCTATAATCACATCACCTTCTCCTCAAACTCTGACTCCTTCTGTGCCCCTTTTACAAGGACCATTGGACATGGGTCCACTTGGATAATCCAGCATAATCTCCAAGTTCAAGATCCTAACTCAGTCACATCTGCAAACTCCTTTTTGCCATATGCTATATGGTTTGGAAGTGTCCCTCAAATTTTGTGTTAAAAACTAAATCCCCAAATTCATATCTTGATGCTATTTGGAGGCAGAGATTTGGGGAGATAATTAGTATTAGATGAGGTCATCAGGATGGGGCTCCTATGATGGGACTGGTGGCTTTATAAGAAGAGGAAGAGAGACTTGAGCTTGCATGTCTGTGCTCGTTTGCCATATGATGCCCTTCACCATGAAAACCCTCACCAGAAGTTGAGCAGATGCTGGTGCCATGCTCTTGGACTTTCCAGACTCCAGAAGTGTGAGAAATAAATTTCTTTTATTTATAAATTACCCAGCCTTAGGTATTCTGTTATAGCAACAGAAAACAGTCAAAAACACTATTCATGAAAACCCTCACCAGAAGTTGAGCAGATGCTGGTGCCATGCTCTTGGACTTTCCAGACTCCAGAAGTGTGAGAAATAAATTCCTTTTATTTATAAATTACACAGCCTTAGATATTCTGTTATAGCAACAGAAAACAGTTAAAAACACTATTCAAGGTAACATTCACATGTTCCAAGGTTTAGGACATGGACATAGTGGGTACACTATTCAGCCTACTGCACCAGGTAATTATTATCAGGTAAATCTGAGAAATACTGATAAAGGAGTTAAAAAGAAATTACTTACGCAGGTTGTGAAGGTAAGGACGTCCTTGGTAAGGTTCTCCTTTTAATGAAAAGCAGCCCCCAAATCATTTTCTTTTCTAACAAAGAGTAGCCTGTAAAATCAAGCTGCAGGCATAGACAAGCAAGCTGGAAGCTTGCACAGGTGAATGCCGGCAGTTATGCCCATAGGAAAAGGCTACCTGGGACTAGGAATGATTAAAATGGCAGCTCCATGTTTCCTTCCCTTTGCTAGCCATGTGTACAGTAAGGAGCAGACAAGACGGCACTGGCCAAGTGGAAAGCCATTTGCATAAGCTCCATGTTTCCTTCTCTTTGCTAGCCATGTGTACAGTAAGGAGCAGACAAGACGGCACTGGCCAAGTGGAAAGCCATTTGCATAATAAGATTAGGGTGGAGCAACCAGCCATCTCCGTGTGCTATGTAAACATCACACCTGGTCAAACCAATCTGTGGGCCCTTCGTAAATCAGACACCACCTCCTTAAGCCTGCCTATAAAATCTGCTGCAGTTTGCAGCAAGCCAGCTTTTCCCTTCAGACAATGCCTCTCTCTCTCTCTCATAAGAGAGAGCTGCTCTCCTTTCTCTTTCTTTTGCCTATTAAATCTTTGCTTCCAAACTCACTACTTGTGTGTCGGTGTCCTTAATCTTCTTAGCACGAGACAATGAACCCCAGGTGTTTACCCCAGACAATGATACCGCTTCAGCACCATAGGAATGGTTAACACCACAAGTGCAACATAAATATTCCAAACATAAAAATTCCCTATATATAAGCCTAACTAATCACTTAACTGTATATAATATATAGATGCCCCAATTGGGTGGCCCAACCACCATGTTTTTGAATGTGTCAGTAACTCATTTCATTTTTATTGTTTAGTATTCCATTGCTATGGTTTTGAACATCCCCCCAAAACTCATGTTGAAATTTAATTGTCATTGTGATAGCATTAAGAGGTAAGGTTATGATGAAGAACAAAGACCCTCACCAGATGCTGCTTCTATACTCTTAGTCTCCCCAGCATGCAGAACCATGAACCAAATAAATTTCTATTGTTTATAAAGTGCCCAGTCTCAGGTATTCTGTTTTAGCAACAAGATAAAGCCAGGATTTGAATGCTTGTCCATTTGACTTCAAAGCCCATCCATTATCTTAGCCTCTATGCTACTGTCTCATAATGAAGTGGAATGTATACACACAAGACTACAAAATCAAGTGCCAGTGGACTGGCTTCAGGTTGTTTGGATGAGATCAGCAGAGGAGATGGAGTCATTAGTAGGAGGGGAGTTGGCCTCATGCATGAGTGAGATTTGTAAAGATGGAGGCAGGAGGGAGGGCAAACCTTGGGCCTGGACCTGCGATTGTCCACCGTGGCTTTGTCCTTGGCTAAAGAAGCCAGTTCCCACCTTCTCCTGGGAGAGCAGTGAGGATGGAGGGCCAGCTGTAGGGTGAGCACTGTGTAAGCCGCATTCCTGGGCCTTTGTGTCATACCTACCAACAAAGGACACTTTCTGAAGAGCTTTTGTGGACTGTGGTTAGGCCTGCAGTCAGGACCCGCATTCTAACTAAAAAGTGTAGCCTCCGGCAAGTTCAGAGCCACTTTGCAGCTCCCTGGCAATGGGGATGATCTGTGTACTGGGGAAGGCAGCTGGGCCCAGAGGGGCTTTTGAACCACAGCATTTTTCTTAAACATGAGGGATGTTATTTTTGAACCAGGTAGGAGGTGACCCGGGAACCAGCCTCCCTGAAGAGGAGGGAGGGAAACACCTATGGCCAGGGTTATGTGGTGCTCTTATTTCCTTCCTGATTAAAGATGTAGATGCCTTGGTACTTGAGCCCTGGAGGAGGCTCCTTCAACCTGAGAAAGCACTGTGCCCCAGCTCATCCTGGGAGCTGGCACAGAGAGAAGGAAGGGGGTGGCAGTTTAACGGCAGCAGCTGGGAGAAGCGTGTCAGAAGTGCCGGGGGAAGCAAAAGTTGGCTAGGGAAAGGAAAGGGGAAGAGGGAAAAGCAGAGAGGCAGCAGCAGCTCTGGGAGAAAGGGACAACAGACCCTTAAGAAGGGCAAGTGTTCTGGGAGCCTCAGAGCAGTGATGGATTTTCCATCTTGGAATCCCCTCCCTTCTCTGTCCCTTACACACAGCTTGTCCTGAGGAGCAGACATGTGGTCTGTGCTCACCCAAGAACTCACAGTCTCCTTCTCTCTTCAATACCCATTTGCTGGGCCTAATTCTTACCTCAAAAAGGTAACTCTTGATTATTCTTAAAAGTTTAAAAAATAATAACTGTGATTTTGGTCTAAGCTAAAGTTAATCATTTTTCCTCAAGGTTGTCTCCCAAGAAAAATGCTTAAAGAGGCCGGGCGCAGTGGCTCATGCCTGTAATCCCAGCACTTTGGGAGGCCGAGGTGGGCGGATCACCTGAGGTTCGGAGTTCAAGACCAGCCTGGCCAACATGGTGAAACCCCCATCTCTACTAAAAAATACAAAAATTATCTGGGTGTGGTAGTGAGTACCTGTAATCCCAGGTACTCAAGAGGCTGAGGCAGAACTGTTTGAACCTGGGAGGCGGAGGTTGCAGTGAGCCAAGATCGTGCCATTGCACTCCAGCCTGAGTGACAGAGTGAGACTCTCTCTCAAAAATAAATAAATAAATAAATAAATAAATAAATAAGAAAAATGTTTAAAGAATATGAAAATAATTTGGTGTTGTTTAGGTAGATTGTTTTCCTCCTCAGAGTTGAAAGCTAAAAAAAGTAACACAGATATTCACTAGATTTTATCACTGAAATGACACCATAGCACTGTTGCCCAGGCTGGAGTGCAGTGGTGCAATCTCAGCTCAGTGCAACCTCTGCCTCCCTGGCGCAAGTGATTCTCCTGCCTCTGCCTTCTGAGCAGCTGGGATTATAGGCACATACCACCATGCCTGGCTAATTTTTGTATTTTAGCAGAGATGGGGTTTTGCCATGTTGACCAGGCTAGTCTCAAACTCTTGACTTCAAATGGTCTGCCTCAGCCTCCCAAAGTGCTGGGATTACAGGCGTGAGCCACTGTGCTTGGCAGGTTTTTTGTTTTTGATGAACTTGTCATTTCCAGCACTCCCTGCTTGCGATGTTCTCTCTTGTACCTGTGACACTGAGGGAAACTGTTAGATGCCAAATTCACCTGAGGGACTAAAATCTGTCTAGATGTAAGTCTGATCTGGCATCTACTGGGGGAAGGGAAAGACTGAGTAAACTCTGTTTCAGTTCATATCCATTGCCATTCGATTCTGAATTCTAAGATATGGCACCCAGTAGGGTCACTCTACATGTTTATTCAATGGAAATGATGTCTGAAAATTCAGCTTTTATCAAAAAGCATTTTAGGTGGGTATAATCATGACTGTGAACTGTCTCCTAAATAATTTAGTGTTCCATTATTCCCCTTCCCAATACATTTTGGATTTTAGGCCCTACATAGGTCTAGACCCTGGAGTCTAGGACTCTGCCTCTGGAACCAGCAGTATTGGCCTCACTTGAGAGCTTATTAAAAATGGAGAGTCTCCAGCCCACCCTCAGATCCAAGGAATCAGGATGGACTTTTTAACATGCTCTCCAAGTGATCTGTGTGCATGTTATAAAGTAGGAGAAACGCTGCTCTGAGCATCTGATCAGGAGGCCCTCCCAGCCCTGGCTTCAGGGTAGAGCTATTTGGGTTGCAGGGTGGCACCATGCCACACATTGTGGGCAGAGAGTTCAAATTCCAGCTCTGCTGTGAACTTCATCACAGGGACAAGTGACCTAAAGTTAAAAAAAAAAAAAAAAATCAAACTCACAGAAAAGTCACAAGAATAGTACACAGAACTTCTGTAAATACTTTACCTAGATTCACCAACTATTAACATTTTGCAACGTATACTTTTTTTTTTCTTTCTACCTATGTATGATGATTATTCCTGAATTAGAGAGTTAATTGTATATACTGGCATGTCTTTACCCTCAATTCTTCAGTGTGTAGCTCCGATAACAAGGACATTTCCCTACACGACAACACCAGGGCTAGAACTAGAGGGAGGCTAACAAGGCCTGAGCCTGGGTGGCCCTTCAAGACGGCTTCCTTCAACTTTGTACCCTAGGAACCTCTGTTGTCTCGCCCTAGTTCTGGCCTGCATGCTACAGTTATCAAAATCAGGAAACCTAACGCTGACTCAATACTATTATCTAATCTATAGTCTATTATATTTAATCTATAATCTATTATATATCTATAGTCTAATCTATAAGCTATTTTCCAATCATGTCTATTGTCCCAATAAGGTCCTTTGTAGCAAAAATTTTCCCCAGATTCAATTCAGGATCATGTATGACATTTAATTATCCTGTGTATTTAGTCTCCTTTAATCTGGAACAGTTCCTCAGGCTTTGTCTTTTATGATATTGATATTTTTGAAAATTATAGACTAGTTATGTTACAGAATGTCCCTCAATATGGGAAGAAGTTACTTTTTAATCTCTTAATGGTTCGGTTTTATCACTATTAAATTGGGAATAGTCCTTCCTTCTTGTTGAATCAAATAGATGAAGACACGTAATGGGCTTGACACATGGCAGGTGCAGGTGGATTAAACAAGAAGCTGCCACTGATCGGGCACTTGTCAGCGCCATGCCAAGTGCTTCACACGCATTGTCTCATTTTGTTTTTACTGCATCTCTGTGAGATGGGCTGTATTTTTACCCCTACTTCACAGAAGAAGAATCTGAGACTTAGAATCATTTGTCCAAGGTCTCATAGCTAGTAAGGAGTGACATGGGGACTTGAATCAAGTCAGTGAGACTGCAAAGATTATTCACTTGTAACATGCTTGTGGTGCTTGCTAAAATCTAGCTTTTTAAGCATAAAATTTTCCTAAAGTTCGCCATTTTAACCATTTCAAAGTGTGTAATTCAGTGTCTCTCAGTATATTGAAAATGTTGTACAACTCTCAGCACTATCCAATTCCAGAACATTTCCATCACCTCATGAAGAAACCCTATACCTCTCAATTCCCCTGATAACCACTAATCTGTTAATCTACCTGTTTCTGTGGATTTGCAGATACATAAAATGAAATACTACTAAGCAATAAAAAGGAACTAACTACTGATACACAGTAACATTCTGGATCTCAAAAACACCACACTGAGTGAATGAACCCAAATACAAAAGACTGCATATGGAAATATTCCATTTATGTGAAATTCTAGAAAAAACAAAGCCTTAGGAACAGACAGCATGGCAGTGGTTGCCTGGGGACAGGAACGTATGGTTGGGAGGTGGCACTGACTGCAAAGGGGCATAAGGGAACTTTTTGGAGGGATAGAGGTGTTCTAATATTTGATTGGTAGTGGTGGTTGCACATGGGATATATTTGCCCAAATGCATCAAATTGTCCACTGTGTCAAGTTTATAATATGTAAATTATACCTCAATAAGATTGTAAAAAAAGAAGAAAAAAATCTAAGCATATCTGATCCTGAATGGAGTTCAATTCATCAGCACAGCTTCCTTTGTTGCCTGGCCCCAGATCGGTCTTCCCAGCCTCATCTCTCACTTCTCTGACACTTGCCATGGGCAAGCCCAGTGTTGGGCACTCAGAGAATGTGGAGGAAGGAGAACCTCTATCTTCAGGGAACTCACAGCCTAGTCTGGGAGCAGAAAGAAAGGGCAGCCAACTCTGACATAGCAGGGCACCCTTCCTAGAGGACCACTGAATCCAAAGGACAGGAACAAAGATATTCCAGACACAGCCTGGATTCCAGTCATTTTGAATCTCAAGTTTGAATCAAGTTTCAACCTAATATTTTGAATAGGTAATACATTTCTATGGCTGTATACTTTAAGCCAAAGAGATGACAGAGTTTATTTTAGTGCTTTTAGGAATGTGGGAATCACTTGTAATGTTTAGGTTAATCAATGTTAAGTAATTTTCGGGAGTAACTGGAATTATTTTAAAAATCACTGGGTTAAACTGGGTGCAGTGGTGCGTGCCTGTAGTCCCCAGCTACTCAGGAGGCTGAGGCAGGAGGATCACTTGACCATAGGAGTTTGAGTCCAGCCAAGGCAACACAGCAAGACCCTATCTCTAAAAAACAAAACCAAACCAAACCCAAAACATTGGGTTGACACTAAAATATCATGATGCTAACCTGTGCCAGGAGGTCCTTTGCTTGAGGGAGGAGCACTGTCTCCATCCCTAGGATGAAAAGATTAAACTTCTATATTCTCTTCACCCTTAGAAAGCTCCTATTCATAAAAGCGTTAAATAAAACAAAAGGAATATAAACCTTTCAAGCCTTTGCCTGCCCCATCAAAGATCTATGTGGAACTGGCAGTAGCTTGGCTCCCTTTGAGTGCTTTGGAACTATGGTCTTCAAGATTTCTTGCTTGCTTTTCTCCCACAAGAAATTTGAAAAACTGTGTTTTGTTCTTTCTTCCTTCTTTTCTTTCCTTTTTCTTTCTTTCTCTCTCCTTCCTTCCTTCCTTCTCTCTTTTTTTTTTTTTAAAATAAGAGATAGGGTCTCATTCTGTCACTTACGCTGGAGTGTAGTGGCATGATCACAGCCCACTGCAGCCTCAAACTCCTGGGCTCAAGCAATCCTCTCGCCTCAGCCTCCTGAGTAGTTGGGATTACAGGCATGAGCCATCATGCTTGGCTAAAACTGTTTCTTCTCGTACTTTTAAAGGTCATATCTAAAATGTTTCATCACAAGTTTAAATTATTATTTAACAAACCTATTATTTAATAAGGTTTGTTATTTCTGGCTTAAGTATTGGCATTTTAAAATAAGATTGCTACATCATTCTTTAAATGTATCCAAGGAAATTTAAAGATCATAATGCATCTATCATCCATTTAAAAAATACATGAACAAGCTTTTCTTTAAAGTAAATTTTACATCAGTCTTTATTTTTCTTATCTTGTACTTCCATTCCACTCATACCTGAACATTTTAATATAATATTTTAAGCTGGAGAGTCTTTTATTGATCAACCTACCGCATTTCCCTACAATTTTTTTTTTAAAGAAAATTCTTGACTGACTCTGATAAGCTTAAAAAGCTCATTTTGATTGCATAATTTTAATACCTAATTGATCTAAATGATACAAAGTATTACATATTTTGGTATCTATTAAAATTAAAGGATATTTTTGCTGAGTGAAATAGAATTGGGTCAAACCTAGTCCTAGTTTTCACTTCTATGGATAGAAACACAAAATACCTTGTTCATTCATTCAACAAATATTTATTGAGCATCTCCTACGTGTTAATAGCTACTTTAGGCACTTGTGATACACTGGTAAATACTACAGATAAATCCTTGCCCTCATGGAGCTTACATTCTAGTCGGGGGTAATAGGCAATAAACAATAAACACAACACATGAGTAAATCATATAGTATGTCAGAAGTGCTATAGCAAAAGAGAAAGCAGGGTAAAGGGGCTTTAGGTGTACTGTGAAAGTTAAGAATGGGTTGTGATTTTTAAAAGGTCAGGGTAGGCTTCAATCAGGTAACTTTCGACCAAAGGAGGTGAGAGAGTTGGCAATGCAGATATCGGGGGAAACATGTACAAGGCAGAGGGCACAGCCAGTGCAGAGGCCCTAACTTGGGAGCATGGCTGACATCTTCTAGGGACTAGAAAAGACATTGGGAAGGCTAGAACATATTGGAGAATGACTGATAGGAGATGAGATTAGAGAAGTAATGCTCAGGGGTGGAGTGGTGGTACTGATCTTATAGAACCTTTTAGACTATTGTAAGGATGTAGATTTTTACTCTAAATGAAGTGAGGATCATTTAATGTAGGGATTTAAGCAGAGAGAAGATATCTGACTTATTTATTTTTTTTGAGATGGAGTCTCGCTCTGTCGCCCAGGCTGGAGTGCAGTGGCGCAATCTCCACTCACTGCAAGCTCCACCTCCCAGGTTCATGCCATTCTCCTGCCTCAGCCTCCCGAGTAGCTGGGACTACAGGCGCCCACCACCACACCCGGCTAATTTTTTTGTGTTTTTTAGTAGACCCGGGTTTCACCGTGTTAGCTAGGATGGTCTCGATCTCCTGACCTCGTGATCCACCCGCCTCGGCCTCCCAAAGTGCTGGGATTACAGGCATGAGGCACTGCGCCCAGCCCTGACTTACGTTTTAAAACGATCACTCTAGCTATTATATTGGGAAGAGGCAAGCATGAGAAGAGGGAGAGCTTTTAGAAGATGAATCCAAAGATGAGATGATGGCGGCTCAGACCAGGGAGTAGCAGTGGAGGTGGTTAGGGATGCTCTGTGGATTAGACATGCATGTGAGAAAACGAGGGGAATCCAGAATTGCTGGACAGCACTAAGGATTTACTTGAGGTTCATGGTGATGAAATTAAAGTGAAACTACTCAGGGTTTTTGGTCTGAACAACTTGCACAATAGAGTTATCAAATAAGATCGGAAAGCTAGTGGGCTCAACAGGTTTGAGGGAGAATATTGTTCAGTTTGTGACGTGTTTGAGGATATCAGAATCTGGAGTTCAGGTAAGAGGTCTGAGCTGGAGATATAAATTTAGGAGTTGTCATCATATATGATGATATCATATATCTTATGGTATTGAAAGTCAGGAGACTGGATGAGATCAAGGAAATGTATATAGATTAAAAAGAGTTCAAGGGGCCAGGCACAGTGGCTCACGCCTGTAATCCCAGCCCTTTAGGAGGCTGATGCAGGCAGATCACCTGAGGTCAGGAGTTCAAGACCAGCCTGGCCAACAAGGCGAAACCCTGTCTCTACTAAAAATACAAAAATTAGCCGGGTGTGGTGGCGGGTGCCTGTGATCCCAGTTACTTGGGAGGCTGAAGCAGGGAGAATTGCTTGAATCTGGGAGACAGAGGTTGCAGTGAGTTGCGATCATGCCACTGCACTACAGCCTGGTTGACAGAGAGAGACTCTGTTTCAAAAAAAAAAAAAAAAAAGAAAAAGAGTTCAAGGAATGAGCCCCAGTTAAGGGGTTTGAGAGAAGAGATGAAATCCAGCAAAGATGACAGGGAAGGAGGAACCATGAATGAAGGAGAAAAACCAAGAGGATGTGGTTAAAAAAAGAGAATCAAGTGATTAGCTGTGTCAGCTGTTACAGATAAGTCAATCAAGATGAGAACTGAGACTAGATCATTAGGTTTAGCCAGCGTGAAGTTCTTTGTTGGCCTTCACAAGAGTAGTTTTGATAGTGTGGTAAGGATGAAAGCATGAACGGAGTTTAAGAGAGGATGGGAGACCTAACCCTCAGCTGATGACCTAAAATACGCCACATGTGTACCTCACATGTAATGATTCTACTATGTATGTATGGAGTCTTAACATACATATCATGCTTGACATGTTTTTGAACTTTATATAAATGGTATTGTATGGGATGTATTCTGCTGTTGTAGAATGGGAGAAGAACTGCAGATAAAGTATAGAAAACTCTTTTAGAAGTTTTCTTGTAAAGGGAGTAGAGAAATGGGTGATAGCTGACAGTAGAAATAGGTCCAAGAGAAAAATCTGTAGGATTGGAAAAATCACAGCTGCTGGTAAACTTACCAGAATGACACAGTAGAGAAATACTGATAATACAGAATAGGGGATAATTGCTGGAGTGACAGTGAGGATACTGATTAGGCAAGATAGGACTGGAATCTGTGTGTTGGTGACAATGCTCCTTTAGCTAGGAGCATGGCAATTCAACCATGTGAGGGTGGGGAAGGCAAAGTAGAGGCTGGCATGTGGGTGTGGGTGATGCTGAGATTCTGTGGAATTTTTTCTCTCATTGCTTCAATTTTCTCAAACAAGGCTGTTAATTGAGAATGATGGAGGGGAGGATGTGCAACTTAGAGGACAGAGAAAGTACAAACTCCAGAAGAATGGAGGAGGGAAGGAGAATTGCTGGACAGCACTAAGGGGTCTGCCTGAGGTTCTTGGTGATGAAATTAAAGTGAAAGTAGTCAGTGTGATTGCGTTCTTCTCTTGCCACATTCAGATGCATGGGCGCTAGCTTGAATCAGGGTTGTGGCTTTGCCAGGCAAGCACAACAAAGGGAGAGAAAGGCAAGGGGGCTGAGAGCATGTGTAAGAGTGATTGTGATTGGCCAGGGGTTGAGGCTGGGTGAGAGCAGATATGAGGGGTTAAAGAATTGTCACAGTTAGAGTACTACAGGGAGTGACCTAGAAAACTGAGGTGGTGATCAGGGTATGAGATGTTTGAAACTGAGATAATGAAGAAGTTGCAGAGTTCGATAAGGCTACTGTGATTATGACCATGGGAGGAAGTGGCTTAGTTAGGGAATGTGCAAGTTAGAAGTTAGAGAAGGTACAAAATCCAGAATGATCAAGGGGAGGATGTGTAAGAGGACAGACAAGGTACAAAATCCAGAAGAGTGGAGCAGAGAAGTGTAAGATAATCGCTGGACAGCACTAACGGTCTACCTGAAGTTAATGGTGAACAGTGGGGGTCTCCAGCCAACAGCCAGCAAGGGACTGAGGCCATCAGTCCTGAGGCCTGCGAGGAACTGAATGCTGCCAACAACCACATGAGCTTGGAAGCAGATCCTCATCCCAGCCTCACGTTGTAGAGGACACAGCCAAGTGATGCCCGGACTCTTGACCCAGAGAAACTGTAAGATCATAAAACTGAAGCAATGAGAGAAAATCCTTGAAGAATAAAAGGAACTGAGAGGCCAGAGTACTGGGAAGATCTTATAACCACCTAGCACTAGGACAGAAGTGGCATTGGAGTGACTGACAGGAGCAAATTCTGCAGAGATGAAGTGGGGTAAGGTCAGCGACAGAGGTATTGGATAGCAAGATTTAAAGCTGCTGGTTTAGAGGAGGAGGGGGACGGCCTGGAAGCAATGTTGAGAAGCAAGAAGGAAACCTACCTCACCTCCAGGCACTAAGAGGCTGAAGGTTGAAAACACCGTTGCCACTACTTGATAGGTAGAAGAAAGAGCAGTGTCCCAGGGCAAAGTTGGGTTTCCCTTAAGTAAAAAGGTGAAGGGAACCTGAAGGGAAATTCTGAGAAGAGGTTGAACTTATAGGGAATATCATCTGCATAAATAAATAGATGGTGTGGTAGAGTCTGAACAGGCCCCAAATGATCCCCGCCTCCTAGTGTTCAAGCTTTTGTGTTTCCTTCCCCTTCAGTGTAGGTGGCGCCTGTGATTTGCTTCTGGCCAGCAATGTATGGCAAAGGTGACAGAGTATGAGTGACACTGTGTATATGATGATGTTACATAAGATTGAAACCAGTGTCTTGCTGAGACTCTCCCCGTTGCTGGCTTTGAAGAAGCAAGCTACCATATTGTTAGCTTCCCTATGGAGAGGACCACATGGCAAGGAACAGAGGGGGTCTCCAGCCAACAGCCTGCAAGGGACCGAGGCCCTCAGTCCTGCAGCATGCAAGGAACTGAATGGTGCCAACAACCACATGAGCTTGGAAGCAGATCCTTTGTTCCAGCCTCACTTTGTAGAGGACCCAGCTGAGCCATGCCTGGACTCCTGACCCAGAGAAACTGTAATACCATAAATGTTTGTTGTTTCAAGCTTCTATATTTGTGGTGATATTGTTATACAGCAATAGGTAACTAATACAGATGGAATGGAAGAAGTTTAGTTATAACTATGTGTTAATTTTTAAAAACCTTCTTCTGAGGTATATTACCTAAGAATCACATATTGATCTATTACCAAATCATGTTTTGTAATCTATCAGCTGACAGATCTTCCTTCAGTTTCGTTGACAGAAAAGATTTGAAAACTATCTGACCTGAAAAATAATTTAATATCCATTCACTAAAGTCATTTACTTTCTCAGCATAGATACCGATTTTTGAATTGTCCCTTTTGGATTGCTGGGGAAGTACTGCATTGATCCAATGCACATTAGTATGGGTGAGAATTTTGACTTTCTTTTGTAAGGTGGGAGGACAGTTTTGAAAGGGGATGCTGTGTCCTCAGCTCCTTTCTTAAGCTGGGCAATTTTCGAAAATAGAACATACAGCAGTGGAAGATGTGGAAATGAATTCCCTTAAAACTGGTCTTCATAAAGCCCAGGAGTAAGAGAACACCAGTTTGGAGCTTAAGGAGCTTTCTGGTAAAAGAGGGACTGGCCCAGGCAGTGATGTGGAGGATAGAATGAAGCACTGAGTATGAGTGGTGAAGGCGTGCGGTGGATGTAGAGAGTTTCTGGGCGACATGACCTAAGAAATGACTTTAGAACTGGCTAATCATTAGTTTTGGAGGGACTAAAAGTAGTTCCAAAGTAGTTCCTGGTTGGTGAAAATAAATCATTAATGTGTTTTAAATGAAAAAGAAATGCATGCGTCTTGTAAAAAATATGAAATAAAAGAAGCATAAAGTCAAAAGCAGAGCCTGTGCCTTCCCCCACCAAACAGGTAACCTAGTTAACTGGCGTGTCGTAGGATTGGAAGTTCCCCTCCAGCAGAGAGTGCACCTACATCGCTTCCAACAAAATCCACTCACACTTGGCAACGCCTGGCAAGGCTCTTCAATATGTGATTCCTTGACTGTTCTGTGCGTCTCTGGAGTTCAAACACCTCTGCGGCTCGTGATTTGGGGTTGCCAGAAAGGGAAGGAAGGCGCGGCCAGCGTCTGTTTCTTCCCTAAGTGAACTCCTACAACCTAGCCACCTTCTCCCCAGAGCTGTCGACCGGTGGTTGAAGGCCAATTTTTGTGCCTACGCAGGTCCTCCACACAGAACAAAACAAATACACAACAAAAGCCGGGCTAATAGCTATTTATAAACACTTACTGGACGCCCACTCTACGCCGAGCTCTCCCGCGCTCCTTGGAAACTTTTTTGCCAAGAGATGCCAATTTTCCCGGCGACCACTCCCTCAAGCAGGCCTTCGCCTCTGCCCGCGGGGAGGCCCAGGCCCAGGCCCAGACCGGGATTCAGAGCCGCCCCTCGGCTGGCGCTGCCCTGCAGGCGCCTGCGCAGAGCGACTCTCGCCGTCACTTGGGGCGGGAGGCGGCGACAGCCGGGAGAATGAAAGCTGCGGGGGAAAAGGGCCAAACCCTGAAATTACCCGGATGTGGTCCCCGCGCGCGCATGCTCAGTGTGTTCTCGACAAGTTGGCAGCAACAACACGGCCCTGGTCGTCGTCGCTGCTGCGGTAACGGAGCGGCTCGGGTGGCGGAGCCTGCGTTGGCGCCCTCCTGCTCTCCTCGGGAGGCCCTTCCCGCCCTCCCCTCGGCTCCGCGGCCGCCCAGGGGGTGGGAGCGGGTGAGGGGAGCCAGGCGCCCAGCAAGAGAGGCCCCCCGCCGCGGGGCGGCCCGGGAGCTCGAGGCGGTCCGGCGCGCGCGGGCAGCGGCGCGGCGCTGAGGAGGGGCGGCCTGGCCGGGACGCCTCGGGGCGGGGGCCGAGGAGCTCTCCGGGCCGCCGGGGAAAGCGACGGGCCCGGCGCGTCCGCGGACCAGCAGCGGCGGGAGAGCGGACTCTCCTCGCCACCGCCCGAGCCCAGGTAACCGCGCCATGTCCCCTCCCCTTCCCCCGGCCGGGCCCGCGCACCCCGCCCGCGGCTTCCCCGCCCCGGGGCGGGCTCCCGACTGCTGCGGCTGCGGCGGCGGCGGGGAGCGCGCGGAATCCGCTGGGAGGGCGACCGCGGCCGCCTGACGAGCTGGGCCGGGCGGCGGTGCCTTGCGTCCGTCCGGCCCCCAGCTTCGCTTGCAGCTCGTGGGAGAATCAAGTTAAAGTCAGACGGGACTCCTGCCGCGGCCGCCGCTCCTCTTTGTTGTTCTCGAGTAGTTTCTCGGTCGCCCCGGCTGAGCGCGTTGGGTCGGCTGGAATGTGTTGCCTTAGGGTCTAAATGAAAGTTGTAAATTGTTTGTCTTAATTTATTTTCTCCAGCCAATTTCGGTTTTCTCTTTGTCCCCTACTTTCTCTTCCTAGTCTTGTCATGCCAGTTTACGCTTCTGGCTTTGATATGTTTACTTTTTGAGTGTTGAGAGTGACGGCGGTATGCAGGACACATTCTTAGCACCTAACTGAACCTCTCCTTGCCCCCAATAAAACATGCTTCCTATTAAAAGACATAGTTGATCTTACTGTTAGCACTACATGTACTGAGAGTGAAATTGGTGTAGGGTGGAGGGCGGTGGCTCCATCACTTGTCCCAAACTGCTGTTAGGATTTCTCAAACTAGATTTTCAAAGGGACAAGTGTGTAGTTAACGTGAAAAGTTTATTTGCTGGTGCAGAGGCTTTAAAAAGCCCTATTGAAGATTGATAGCTGTTTCCCCTCAAAAACCTAAGTACGTTTTTATTTTAAAAAAACCATTTTATTATGCATTATAATTTGGAAACTATTATTTCCAAATTAGTTTCTTAATGCATTTAGTTTTTGCACCGTAGTTTAAGATGGAATTGCCAGTTATTTAGGAATAATAAATACAACAAGATAATAGGGGAATTATCCTGAATTGCCTTTCTGCAAACATATGATCTTAGCTAATTTTTGTTAATAACCTTTGACTTTTGCCAGAATTAGCATCCTTTTAGTCTTAGTAGCAGCTTGGTTACTCGGGTGTTTAAGAAGTAGGTTCACTACTTTTTGCTGGCAAAAACCATTTAGTCTCCAAAAAAAAAAAAAAAAAAAATGAAATGCATAATTTCGTAATTAGATTTAGAACATGGCATTTGAATAATTGTTATGGATTTCATAAATTGCTTTTGCCATACCCTGCGGAGCCTAAATATATACATTTCAGTTGAAATATAGGAAGTTCTAAAATGTACCTTTTTTTTTAAATGCTGAGGACTTTATATTGGAAAGTTCTGATATGATTAATACATAATATTCCAAACTGTAAAATGATTAACATTTAAAAATACAGGTTTTTAAATTAGTGTTTCTTCCATAATGCTGTCATGATTTTGTTTACTTAAATGGGTTTGTTACAGAACAAATATAATAGAGATAGATAGGCCAAGCATTTATAATTTGGAGTAGCTTTAGATCTAAAGATAGTGGTGAATTATGTAGGTTTTAAGTTGTTGGAATTAAAACTAAAAGCTGCTTTAGATAAAAATTGTTGTAACATTTTGCGACTATTAATAGAAGTGGCTTTTTCTTTGCTTTCCAGGTTTTTGGGTGAGTTTTAAAGAATTATTGCATCTTAGTTTTTTTATTTTTGAGGTGAGAGTGTATGTCTGTTTAGGTAACTGCCTTCAGTGTAAATCTTGAGTTTAGAAAAAACCAAACTGCAAATGTTTTTCAGACTTAATGAAAATTTGTACTGAGAAAGTCACTTTGAAATATTTTGGAGTAAGTTGGCTGGGCGGGGTGGCTCACGCCTGTAATCACAGCACTTTGGGAGGCCGAGGCTGGCGGATCACGAGGTCAGGAGATCGAGACTATACTGGCTAACACGGCGAAATTCCGTCTCTACTAAAAATGCAAAAAATTAGTCGGGCCTGGTGGCGGGCGCCTGTGGTCCCAGCCGCTTGGGAGGCAGAGGCAGGAGAATGGCGTGAACCCGGGAGGCGGAGCTTACAGTGAGCAGAGGTCGCGCCACTGCACTCCAGCCCTGGCGACAGAGTGAGACTCCGTTTCAAAAAAAAAAAAAAAAATTGGAATAAGTTTTACGTGAAAGATTTTTAAAAGCCTGTGCTTCACTTTCTTAAGCTACATTTTAGTCGAGTGATTGTGAATTCTTTTTCTGTATTACCCTTCAGTTTTTCTTTCCCCCCCAAATTAAGGAGCAAGAATTAATCTAATTTACGCTGCCCAGTTACACTCCAGCTCTCTCACTTGGAAGCAGTTTTTTTCTGATTGAGCCAGTGTTATAGTAACATCATTAGGCACTATTCTAATTGAGGTGTGAATTACTGAGGCCTCTACTAGGGAGGTTAACCCTACAGAATCTGCAGGGTTCATTATATTTAAATTGCATATTTAGGCTTGTCTAAATTTTTGCCTATTTTGGTGAAAACATGTTGTTCTGCCGATGTTTAAACTTAGTTCATTTTATCCCTCTCTAGTTCATGACTAACCGTTTTTTTCATTTTTAATTCAGTGATTTTTTTTTAGAGTGACTGGTTCTTTAAGCATCTTGTATTAGCCATTTCAATGCTCATTATGTATGTTTGGATTTCTCTTATTTTGTTGATCTAGAAGACAGTGTAGTTATGCCAAAAAAATTTTTTTTTCTTAAAGCGATGATGAATGGTGACTCCGAGTTGACCATTAATCGTGTATAAAAGTAACCTGACTAAAATGTTTCATTGTTTTCTACAGTTAAAAGACTTAGACCAGCATAACACAGCATTTTTTTTTTTTCTTTGACATGGAGGCTTGCTCTGTTGTCCAGGCTGGAGTGCAGAGGCATGATCTCCACTCACTGCAAACCTTGCCTCCCAGGTTCAAGCGATTCTCCTGCATCAGCCTCCCGAGCAGGATTACAGGCATGTGCCACCACACCTGAGCCAATTTTTGTATTTTTAGTAGAGATGAGGTTTCGCCATGTTGGCCAGGCTGGTCTTGAACAACTGACCTCAGGTGATCCGCCCGCCGTGGACCCCCAAAGTGCTAGGATTACAGGCGTGAGCCACTGTGCCTGTCCTATAATACAGCATTTAATACAGTTTTGTAAAATTATCACATTTTGTAAAATCACATATGCCAAGCATATGCTTGATCGTAAGTCAGATTTAGAATTTTTGGATTTTGTTTTCTCTTTCTAAAATGTGTAATTTTGGTAATGGGAAATTTGACTGAATTCCAGTTTCTCAGGAACAAGGTATTTTAGGTTGTGTCACCTTGACACTATTGCATGGTGTAATTGGCATCCGGGAATATTTGTGTTTAATTATGAGAGAATGAAAACTAGGATAGTGCTTACATACGTAAAACTAAGATTATGCATAGTCGGATTCTTACAGTTTATAAGGTTCTTATAATCTAAGCCTTGATAAGTTGCTACTGCAAATTATATCATAGATCAGATAAGTACCAAAGACCAATTGTAAAGAGGGTCTGTTAACATTTTAATCAGTTTAAAATTGGTGGTAACAGTAAAGACCATTCGGCTCAAAGAATGTATTTCATTATTTATATTTCAAATGAGAATTTTTTGCAGTTTGGAAAACTTGTAAATGTGTTGAATTCATCTTTTTATTGCTTTTTTACTCCCAACGTTTAGGGCAATGGTCTTCTCTCCTGTCTTTCTTTCTCTCTCCCTTTCTCCCTCCCTCCTTCCCTTTTTCTTCTTTTCTTTTCTTTGTTTTTTTTTTTTCTTTTTCCTGAGATGGAGTTTTGCTCTTGTCGCCCAGGCTGGAGTGCAGTGCAGTGGTGCGATTTTGGCTCACTGCAACCTCCACCTCTTGGGTTCAAGCTATTCTCCTGCTTCAGCCTCCCGAGTAGCTGAGATTACAGGCATGCGCCACCATGCCAAGCTAATTTTTTTGTATTATTAGTAGAGGATGGGATTTCACCATTTTGGCCAGGCTAGTCTTGAACTCCTGACCTCAGGTGATCCACCTGCCTCAGCCTCCCAAAGTGCTGGGATTATAGGCATGAGCCACTGCGCCCAGCCTTCTTTTTTTTTCTTTTTCTTTCCATCTTGCTCAGTGCCCCAGCCTGGAGTGCAGTGCTGCAATCATAGCTCACTGCTGCCTCTACCTCCCAGGCTCAAGCAATCCCACCTCAGCTGCCCCAGTAGCTGGGACTACAGGCACACACCATCACACCTGTCTAATTTTTTGAAAATTTTTTGTAGAGACAGGGTCTCCCTCTGTTGCCCAGGCTGGTCTTGAACTCTTGGGTTCAAGTGATCCTCCCACCTCAGCCTTCCAAAGTGCTGGGATTACAAGCATGAGCCACCATGCCTGGCAAGTAGTTTTCAATCTTGGCTGTACTTTTAGATCCCTTGAGGAGCTTTACAAAATACTGATACCTGAATTCTAGCCCCGGAAATTATGATTTGGTTGGTCTGGGGTGCAGCCAGGTTAGCCCTCGACAGTGATTGAGCCATTAGGGTCCTCTGACTTTTTCTTTTGAGCTGTTTCACTTGTGTTAGCTTTACATTCTTTAATGCAGTGATACACGCATGTACAGTGTAGTCATCTCATACATTTATCTTAATGTGTCTTTTGAAAGTATTGCCACATTTGCTTTGCTTCTGTGTCTGTCTCTTTTCTTTCTTTCTTTCTCTCTCCCTTCCTGTCACCTATTCCTTTCTCCTCTGTTTCTTTCTTCGCATTCAGTTTATTTGAACTGTCTGGTAGTAAGTTTTAGGAAGCTGTATTTCCCATGATGAGAAGTTAATATATCATCACTATTTTAAATAGGAAGTTGGTCTTCTTTTAAAGTATATTCTCAAATGCTTACTTTTACTCCTTTTGGAGACTAATTACTTTAAGTCCCCAAGTTAGCATCTAAACTCCCCGTGGACTTAGTCTAGTGGCTCACATCTATAATCTCAACGCTTCTGGAGGCTGAGGCAGGAGGATCACTTGAGCCCAGGATTTCAAGGCCAGCCTGGGCAACAAAG